AGAGAGAGAGAGAGAGAGAGAGAGAGAGATTGTATGAAATGATTCATAGAAGTTGTGTACATAAATCATAATGCCATTGAGTTGAATTAATAACCAAATGCAGATATCAATGGCAGATAAAACCAAGTGTTGATGAAATCCAGACATTAGATACTACGTTGTTGTGACTATATCTGAGTACAGTAGTTGACATAAATTAGTAGATGTAATAATATAAGTATCTGAATGATAGTCTGTTCCCGTTAGACAAAAGACCAGTTCACGAACACAAAGGCAAGGCAGTGATTGGAATCATTATCATCCAAAACTTTGCATGCAATGGCCTGCTCATAGGACACTGGTCGATTCATACTTGATACACATATTCCAGCTGGAAGATATGCAAACCCCTGAAATGAAAAAAAAATAAGCATCATCAGATAAGCACAAATTATAAGAATAAAAAGGAATATACCGACAAGTAGTTTACTAGGGGTTGATTACCTGTTGCATTATCTTGGAGAACTCGATGCAGAGAAGCTTCCTGCCAGATTCATCAAGAACTTTATCCAGCATTATGTCTTGAAGAGCAACAAGAGTGGTTTCAAGCATATCAAGTCCAGCTTGGTTGGCAAAGGTGAAAACTGGAGATGCCTGCATGATTAATGGAGTTTGTTGAGTTCAAGACAAGTTCTTCCTGAAGAAAGATATTAAATAAGGAGGCAGAGAGTGATTACATTAGTTTTTACAGAACAGCATAATATTGCATCTGAATGGTGCCAAAGTTGCTTCAAGATTGCATCACCAGATGTGGACTCAACTCTGAAAAGGTCTGTGCAGGTGTGAAGCCTGAAAGAAACAATCTGTATTGCATCAGACCAGTCAAATGAGTTTAATTTATCTCAAAATAAGCCTTTTCCACACAATAACAGAACACGGCTAATTCATAAATTTTATCACATTTTTAGGTGTACTTTTGCTGATCCTGAAGACTAATCAAGACAAGAAAATCAAACGAAGCATAGGAAAATTAGACCTGTAGCTTCTGTAGATCCATCTTGCCAAGGTAAGAGCCTCTGGTGGACCAGTAAGTGACTTTGGCCCTAACTCTGTACTGAGCCGAGAGGGTGCAATTGCCATGGCAACCCTCTGAACTGATCTTACAACATTGCGCACATATTGGCGAGCCATGACAGCCACATTGTCCCGCAAATGGTTCTCAAAAGTAAACTGGAATGCAATTGTGAGGACTGACCTAAGGTTGTAGTTATTCAGATCAGTTTCACCAGCAGGACGAGCATTACCAGATCCTATGTCTAGTGCTGATGCCAAATCCAGTGTCCTAGTTGAAGCTGGACCATCCTGAAATCAACAAATATTCAGAAACACGTAATCATGTTAGACGAAACATGTTCATGTGTAAGACAAAACATGTTCATGTTCATGAGTCCCTTCAAAAAGCTACTTAAGAAAATAACTACAAGACCAAGTCATTTAAGAAACAAATGCATCATCATACAGTTTTAGGATCCAATGGTATGATGCGGAAACCAGAAGGCAGTAACAGAGCATCATCTGCAAAAGACTCATCGATAGGTGCAAACACAAGCTGTGCGCATGCTCCAATTGCATTTTCATCAACTCCACTGCATAGCTGTCACATCAAATTGCATAATTAGTAAAAAACATGGACAGAAACAGTAGTAATTCCTGCTTAAATAAGATAAAAAAAAATGGCTTTACCTGCAATAGATACATATCACACGCCAAAGCTACATCATCAGGGGGAAATGCATTACCCTCAATTCGAACTACCTCCAAGAACTGCATCATTGCAGTGGGTGGCATGAGAATATAAATGGGAAATCTAGAAACAAGTTTATCAATCATAGATTTAAGAAAGATCAATACCTCTTCATGCTCAATAGTATGAGCAAGAGGCAAAATGACCTGGCTGCTTGGGAAGCCACTAGGTCTTGCACAAGGAACTGCATAAGGACTAGCTTTGAGACATGCAGCAGAGTATGCATCAACCCCATAATCAGCCCACTCAGAACGATGTTCCCTCAAAAATCGAACAAGCAAAGCAGGAGGAACATTCTGCAAACCATTAATGTAAATTTAGTATAATGGAGATACATATCCAAATTCCAGAAGAGTTCTTGGAATTGATACAAGATTGAATTTAGACAAAAATGATAATTTCGCGTGAGTTTATATGGGATTATCATATACCTGCAGGAGCATTGATGCCTTGGCACAAAGAACCCCACCTCCAAATGTTGGAAGCATGGATGTATTGTAATGGGAACCAAAAGACTTGTTGGGAGATGAGTTTATGGCTATGGTCACATCTTCCACCCCATCATTACCAATTGGCGACCAACCATCATCCACAAACCCATTGACAGCATCATTAAACCCTCTGAA